TGAAAACCATCCCGGGTGCATACTCCCCTTTCTCCTACACATAGCTTTATTTCAGTGTTGTATTTTTATCAATCAGCCATTTGATATAAAACTGCCGTGCTGGCATTGGTCAACTGCCAAGGGCAATCACATACTCAACAACAGTTTATGAAACAGCATGAGCGTAGCTGGTGAAGAGGGAGGCTCACTGGAGGGCAAGTGTGGTTTTCAGAACAAGGAGGGAGACAGATCAACCTTTCCAGAGTCCATGCATGGAGGCAGTCCTACCCCCATTTTACAGCCGAGGAAAGTGAGGCTTAGAAGGGTGAGATACCTTGCTCCAAACCACTCACCAGTGAGGTAGGAATATGGAGCTAGGATCTACTTCTTGCTGGATCCCAAATCCCTCCTCTTTTGACCATATCACGCTGCTTATCTACAGAACACTGGGTCATCAGACCACATCCATCCTCCCAACAGCCATGAGACGGGAAAAAGTTAAGGGTCAAAAATGACAGGACAAACGACATTCGGGTTATTTCCAAGTCCTCACTGTACTTGAGTAACTGGGGATTGGATTTGGGTGATGATAGAGGTTCCTGGCTGGGACCAAAAACCAAACTCACTGCCGTTAAGTCAATTCCAACCCATAGCGACCCTATAAGACAGGGAAGAACTGCCTGCGTGGGTTTCTGAGACTGTAACTGTTCGAAAAGTAAAAAGCCTCATCTTTCTTCAGAGAAGCGGCTAGTGGTTTCGAACTGCTGACCTTGTGGTTAGCAGCCTGGTGAGTGACCACTCTGCCACCAGGGCTTCTCTTCATGGCTGGGTAGGTGGTAACAAGTAAACTGGGAAGAGAAGTTTTGAAATGGTAAATAGGGAGACTGCTAGGAAAGAACATTGAAACGATGGCATTCTGGGCACAAGTCAATATTAATTAACTCAGTAACCATTACTAGGTGCCTAACATAAGCTGCAGAACAGAGAAGGGGTTCTCTATCCTGGAAAAAGTTACTCTCTCTGAAATTCACAGGGGCAGTTCTAGCCAGGCCTACTGGGTCGCCGAGTCAGCCTCAACTCAAACGGCAGCGAGTCTGGACTTTTTTGAACATATGTTGGGAAGTCTCTGGGTGGTGCAAATGGTTGATACACTGGGCTGTTAATGGAAAGTGCACGAGACACACCTCAGAAGGAATACTGGTGATGTACGTCCAAAAAACTAGCCATTGAGAGCCCGAAGGTGCACAGTTCTACTCGGATCACATGCCGAAGCCAGAGGTCACGAAGACCCCACAGCAACTGCTACTGGGAACACAAGGGGGCTTCCAAAGCTACTGGGAAGAAGGGATGAAAGATAATGGCATTTCCCCACACACTGTAGCCCCTTCGTATATGCCAGGCCCAGGGCTGTCATACTCAGATGAGATTTTTGGCCCCATACATACGCTTGGCAAACTTGAGTTCACGGCATACTTTTGTTATAGATTCTAAAATGAATATTAACAGTAATACCTATGCGATTTTGCTGACGCTGGCAGGATACAGACCCTGAGAGAAGAGAGACTCAGAGCTGGGACTGTGCTTAATGACTTCATCGTGGAGTCTGTGTGGAAGCCCTGCGGAGCCACACAATTTCAGGAAGCAGAAGCTGGGAGCTGGGTGTGGGGGTTCCTAGAGGCTATCTTTGGCTTACCCTGTCTGCCCACAGAGAACATAGAGGCCTGCGCTGGTCAAAAGGACTTCCCTGGCTGCATGCTCTTCCTATGCTTGTCCTTCCAGCGCCCAACCGAAATGAATGGAAGAGGCAGAGGTCTGGAGACCCCCATGGCACAGCCCTCTGCGACTGCCCTAGCTAAGTAGTCAAGGGCATCATCACATACCTTTCCCAGGTCTCCGATCCCTCCTCCCCCACTTGCCTTTCCCCTTGCTGGTCTTGACCCAGTGGGTGGCACTCCCTGTGTGGTGTGAACAAGAAAGCACTTGATTAATACTGGAAAGCTCAGAGGTTCAAATCCACCCAAGGAATCTCAAAAGAAAGGCCTGGCAAGCTACTTCCAAAAGGCCGTAGCCACCAAAACTGCATGGAACATGACTCTACCCTGACTGGAATCAACGCGCCAGCAACTGGTCGTGTTTGCGTTTTCCTTTCCTGTCCAGTGCAGAGAATGGTGGTTCTACCTGGTCAGTCCAGGTGAGCACACAGGATGCTGTCAAAGCAAATTGCAGCCCAACGACAGTGTCTGACCGCCCATGAAGAAGCTCCAGCCTCTGTTATTATCAGGTCAGATGCTGTTCACAGAATACCCTGTGAAATAGGCTTTATTATCCCCTTTTTACCGATGGGAGGACAAGCCCAGATAAATCAAGCACGTTCAGAGAAGTAGAAAAGGCCAGGGAAGGTGTTGAGGATGCCAAGACAGGACTTTCTCAGAGAAGGCTTCCTGGAAGTGATGAGAGAGAGAGAGAGTAGAAAATCGCCAGGGTGTGAGAAACCACTGAAGAGAAAGGCACCACAGCAGGTGGAGGCTCTGCAAGGGCTCGAAAACAGGAGGCCGACTGACACAGGCTGACAGCAGCAGCAAGCATCTATATCCATACCTCCTCTGTGCAGGTGCTCTCAAAATAGACCCTGTTCTTAGTGGGTTATTTACATTCATTCATTCTCACTCCTGCCTTGAAAGGTGGGTCCTATTATACATCCATTTTACAGACCAAGAGATTGAGGCACAGGGAAGTAGCTTGTGCAAGGTTGCCTTTGGATGGTCTTACATGCGAATTAAGGAGTAGGCATTTAAATCTTGGGAGCCAGGAGCCCTGCCCCCTTCCTTGAAGGTATTCAGCCGAAAGATGGGCACTGCTGTGTGACTTTAGAAACTTTTCTGAGGCAGAGTGGATCAAGCGGTGAAGGGGGGGCCAGGGTGGGGGTGGGGGGTGGAGCAGGAGCCTGACTAGGCTATTGGTCCAAAGAGGCCCTGAAGAGAAACCGAGAAACAGTGGGAAGAGATTTCAGAGGCATATCGCCACAACTCCTGGTGCTTGTGGATAAGAAATTGTCCTTCGTCTACCTGTATTTCCATCACCTGCCTCAGGATGTGCTTCACAATTAATGGGGCAGAGGTCTGTCTGGCTTCATGTGCTAAATAACACCCTCCTCCTGCTGCTGCTGGTGCTCATTAAATGCTGAATATATAAAATGCACTTTGACAGAGGAGCCAGGAGAATAATTATACCTTGCTAATTATTGTTAATTTTACCACAGCTTTGAAAGCCTGGACTTTCTCAATGATTCAAAAACCCAACTGCAATCCCCTCGTCCCATTAAAGTAACCGCACAGTGGCAGACAAGCAATTTCTCACATGCTCTAATTCTTTCATTATTTGAAGTAGTTCAGCTACTGTATGGGACAGGGAAAAAGACAGGCAATGGCGTGTCCTTCCTGACTGAATCAGAGTGTAAAGAGAACTCATAACCCTGGTGGTTCTTTAAACAATTTGTTTGGTTACCTTTTCTTATACTGAATATAACTGCAACAATAGGCTCAAACATAAGAACAATTGTGAGGATGGTGCAGGACCGGGCAGTGTTTCGTTCTGTTGTGCACAGGGTCGTTGTGAGTTGGAACTTACCAGGCAGTACTTAACAAGGACATACTGAATATACGCAAAATGTGTGTGTGTGTGTGTGTGTGTGTGTGTGTGTGTGTGTGCTGACGGAGTGAAAAGTGACTAAGAGAAAATTTGGTATCTTGGACACTGGACACCTGGGTTCTACCTCAGCTGGTACAATGAGCCAAGTGCTGGGCTACAAACGGAAACACTGGCGGTTGGAATCCACTAGCGGCTCAGCCAGGAGAAAGATGGATCAGTGTGCCTGCTTTAAGATCTTCAGCCTTGGAAACCCTCCTAGGCAGTTCTACCCCGCCCTTTGGAATCCCTATGAGCTGGAACAGCCCCAAGGTGGTGAGTTTACTGTACAGGTAAGGGAACTATTTCCTTAACACACACACACCCCACCCCCCTTACACACACCCCGGCAGCACGTCATTTATTTTAGATTCCAAATCGGCCAGGCAGGAAACCAAAGAACCAGCCAAGGAAATCTGAGGAAATAAATTCACTTGATGGCTTTTCTCCTCTGGGTCATCTTGGGTGTCTCTTAGCAGCATCACCTTTAAAACGGGTCTGATTGGTAGTTCACACCTGTCAGTCAGGACGGCCAGGAGGAGGAGATGATGTTCGCAAGGCTGGAAGTTCGAAACCACTGGGCGCTTTGAGGAAGCCAGCCCGAGCTCCCCATTCGCAAAGTTGCAGTCTCCGAATCACACAGGAGCAGTCCGCCCTGTTCTCTAGGGTGGCTCTGCGTCAGAATGGGCTGGGTGGCAGCGCGTTTGGTTTGGATGTTAATCTTCCTGGAAGCAGGTGGCAGCGCTGCTGGCCGGGTTTGGATGCCCACCTCGCTCGGTTGGTCGGTAGGCACAGCCAACGTTTTCCCCACCTCGGGGCCCCAGTGAGAGGGAGAGAGGTTGGGAAAAGGAGAAAGAAAAAGTCAGAGAGCGAGCAATTGCCACGAAGTATTTTCCAAAGACACTTGAGCGTTTCCGCCCCAGAGAGTGGCCTGGGGCCCGAGGTCTCCGGAGAGGGCGGCTCCCTCCCCGGCGGGCAGGCGGGGCCCGCCGTCGGCCGCGGAGTATCGGTTTCTCTCTCCCGGCTTTCGGTCGCAGGCGGCCAGAGGGCGGGAGCAGCCTCCGCTCCCCAGATCCTATGGCGGGCGGCGGTGGGCCGGCTCCGCCTTCCGGAGGGAGGGATATGGGGGGGCGCGGATGGCGGAGACGGGGAGGCGGGGTGTGTCACCAAATACCTGCGCGTGAGTCGCCGGTGGAACCTGCCGGGCAGGTCGGGCGGACTATAAGAGAGGGAGGGAGCGGCCCGGCGGCAGACGCCTGGAGACTGTCCCCCACGCCGGAGCCCGAGCCCTTTGCGCCCCATCCACCCGCGCCCGGTCCGCCTTCCTCTGCCCCACCATGGCCCGGGGTCCGGTGCTCGCCTTGCCGCTGCTGCTGCTGCTGCTGGCGGCCGTGACCGGCCGGGCGGCCGCGCGGGACGACTGCACTTGCGCCACTAACAAGATGACCACGTGCAGCTGGGACAGCCAGGGCGGCCGCTGCCGGTGCAAGGCGATCGGCTCGAACCACGAGGTCAACTGCTCGACGCTGACCTCCAAGTGCCTGCTCCTCAAGGCGCGCACGGTGCGCTCCAAGAGCGGCCGCGGGCTGGTGCGCCCCAGCGAGCACGCGATCGTGGACAACGACGGCCTGTACGACCCCGACTGCGACCTAGACGGCCGCTTCAAGGCGCGCCAGTGCAACCAGACGTCGGTGTGCTGGTGCGTGAATTCGGTGGGCGTGCGCCGCACGGACAAGGGCGACGAGACCCTGCACTGCGAGGAGCTGGTGCGCACCCACCACATCCTGATCGAACTGCGCCACCGCCCGCCCGCCCGCGCCTTCAACCACAGCGACCTGGACGCCGAGCTGCGGCGGCTCTTCCGCGAGCGCTACCTGCTGCGCCCGCGGTTCGTGGCGGACGTGCACTACGACGATCCCACCATCCAGATCGAGCTGCGGCAAAACGCGTCGCAGAAGGCCCCCGGCGACGTGGACATCGCCGACGCCGCCTACTACTTCGAGAGGGACGTCAAAGGCGAGTCGGTGTTCTCCAAGCCCGGTGGCTTCGACGTGCGCGTGCGCGGCGAGCCCCTGCAGGTGGACCAGACGCTCATCTACTACCTGGACGAGAAGCCCCCGCAGTTCTCCATGAAGCGCCTCACGGCCGGCCTCATTGCCGTCATCGCCGTCATCGCCGTGGCCCTTGTCGCTGGCGTGGTCATCTTGGTAATCACCAACCGGAGGAAGTCGGGAAAGTACAAGAAGGTGGAGATCAAGGAGATGGGGGAGTTGAATAAGGAACCAAACTTGTAGGTACCTGGTGGGGCAAGGGGTGAGGCGGGGTGCCCGGTTTCAGGATCCTCCCAGGTCAAAGTGACTCACAAGTTTTGGTTCTTGGCCCACTGCTCCTCCTCAGTCTCCTCCCCTCCGCACCACCGAGTTCAATAAATCCTGGCCCCCAGGGTTGCTTCTGGAAGGAAAGGGTTCTACAATTCCTTCCCTTTGGGTCCAACGCGAAACCTGGCTCTGAGCGTTGAAGAAAAGGACGGTGTGGGTTATGCATGACTCAAGTGGGTGACGGCCCAACCTTCATCGGAGAGTCACGGAATCCGTGTCTAACGTTGTACCGGGCTTAGATGGGAAGCAGCGCTTGTAGTCTCGGGTTTAAGGTATTTGATTAGCTTCACTTGGCTCTTGGCGTTCTCCATGGGAAGAGCAGTTTGTTAATTGGGCCTCGGTAGTAGCCTCATTTCCCAACGTTTGTCTTGGGCACCACACATACACGCGTCACGGGGTAAGAAGCCTGTTTCAGCTGTCTGAACCCCCCACCCTCGATGTCTGTGTCTGAGAGCAGACTGGCCCAGAAGTCCAGCACCTGCTCTTCAGCACACCCTTAGGAGAGCTGATATTACCAATGTGTCCTTTTGTAAAATGTTTGTACATATGTTGTCTTTGATAATGTTGTGATTTTTTTTAAAAGCAGAAATTTAATAAAATATGGAAAAGGCAAAAACGAAAAGATGGAGTTTGTGAAAACTTGCTCCAGATTTATACCATGTTGGTCTCGTCAAATTTCCCATGCCTCAGATCTTTTATTTTGAATTCTAACCCATTTACAGGAGTGGGTAGTTCAGGCTGCCAGTCTGGCTATTTGTTGAGCTGCCCTTCCACTTGCAGAATGAGTGGGGTGGGGGGTCGCAGAGAGGCCACTAGAACTAGCTGCTGTGGTGAGGGGAGGGGCCGTCTCCAAGTAAGGATTCTCCCCACTGGAGGAGTAAAACTGTGGTCTCAAAAGCTCTTATTTCCTTTGAACCCCAGCTCTACTCTGAAGTAGCCGGTACTTTTCCCCACTTCCCTCTTGGGCAGATTGCTTAATCCTAAAGTATGGTGGCTCCGAGAGTTTCATGACCCTCCCTTACAATTACAGTCTGCCCCTGGCTCTGGCTATGCCTGGGTTCTCCTAAAATGTGTTTCAGGCGTGAGCTTTAACAAACTTTAAAGTTGCTACCTGTTTGCCTTTCTCTTGCACACATTCCTGTATGTAATGAATCTGGGAGTGTTTACAGCTCAGTGGGCAGGGGAGCTGCTGGTCAACAAGTGCCCTGAGTGACTGGAATACTGGTGTTGCAGGAGGTGCCGCCGCATAGGCATGCACAAAGGAGGGCGGGGTCAGCTTGTGCCATAGCCAGAACGGTTGGTTTGTCTTCAGCATGGCCGCCTTGGGTGTCAGATTTGTGTGTCAAATCCATGGCTAATTTGTTTACCTAGGTCACCAGGCCTTTCTTCCAAGGCACCACTGGGTGGATTTGGTCAATAGCCAAGCTTTCACCACCCAGGGCCTATGTCCTGTTAAGGACCTTGAGTAAGACAAACAGTTTGCTTTTAGCTGCTACCCGAAAGGTTGGTGGTTCAAACCCACTTAGCAGCTCTGTGGAAGACAAGGCCTGACGATCTGCTGTGAGGGGCCATCAAGTCAGTTCCTACTCATAGCAATCCCGTGGACGACAGAAGGAAACACTCCCCGATCCTGCCCCATCCTCACAGTCTCCATAAAGATAACTGCCCTCTTAGGAAGAGTTCAGGAGCCCCAGGGGTATAGGGAGTTACACATTGGACTGCTAACCTCAAGGTCAGCAGTTCAAAGCCACTGGTTTCTCTGCGGGAGAAAGATGAGACTTTCTACTTCCATAAAGATTGACAGTTGCGGGAAGAAAGAGGAAAAAAAAAAGATTTACAGTCTTGGAAACCCACAGGGTTTGGAAGCAACTCCGATGGCAGTGAGTCTGAAGGATATTTTTAGTTATAGAGAAGTTCTAGTCTATAATGCTTGGCAGCAAAAGGAGCAAATAGTAAGACCCAGGGCCCCCTGGGATCCATCTCATAACCCTTCTCCTACCCAGTGTCGGATGACCCAGGAAGCAAGGTAAGCAGCGTTTACTTGTGTCAGTGTACTGATCCGCCATGAGCAATCCCAGGATCAAAGCTTCTAGCTATAGTTGGCATCCCAACCCCACAGCACCTTCTTACAGAATCAAAGCCTCTTTTCACATTTATATTCCTTGATGGATGGAGTCCCCGGTAAGGAAGGAAAGCACAGGCTTACTTGTGCTTACTTACTAATCTGTAGTGAAGAATTTCACCTACAAGTGAACCCACGAAGAAAGGGCAGTGTTGGTGATGTGTATGAAGCAAGTAAATGGAAACAATAGCATGTTCTGCGAGTGATGGAATCGATTTTGAATGTTTTTAATGGGTTTAGATGGGAACCAGCACCTTTCTGTCTTGGGTTTAAGGTATTTGATTTGTTTTTTGGGTAATCTGCCTCTGAATGCTCTAACACTGTGAGGCAGACAGCTAGCAACAGACAGCTTAGACACTGTCCTGCTGCCTTAGCAGCTCAGCTCAGAGCTGTGACCAGGATGCACTTGTGAAGTGGCAAGCAGTGGGTAGGGTTCCGTCTTCTGAGATCTCACAACTAAAACCTCCTTGGAGAACGCAGCCTCAGAAGTGGACTGGCTTCCCTTCCGTGAAACAGACAGACAGCAAAAGTACCTGAGGTCAGAAAGGGCGCTCAGGTGCTTTCCATGTCCTGAGTCACCTAAGGGCCTTCGCCAAAGGGCCCTTGGCAATCAGCTCTCCCCTAACCCCTCATTTTACAGATGAAAGGGTGAGTGACTTCATGTGATCAGGATTAAAGTCTCAGTGGCAAGGCTGGAACTGGAAGGTGTCTTAATTACTAATTCAGTGTTTCTTTCACTACACTACATGGACATTTTTTCCAGAGTCATTTCCTAGGAAATAAACAGATGAATAAAGTATGTGGGCGGGGGGGGCCACAGCCCAGGATGGGGGCGTGGGGCTCAAGAGCGGCAGGCTGGAGCAGGCCTAACAGGAGCTGGCCTGGGCCCTGAGTGTCAACAAGGGATAGGCTACAAGGAAATTGGGGACTGGGGTCAGAGCTGTCTGGGGATGCTGCAGTGGGAGGGGTCTCACACTGTTTGGGGCAGAGCCCAGGGTTTGGAGAAAAAAAGAAACTATGTGGGCAGCTGCACAAAGGAGATTCTCCCCCAAAGCCCAACCGTTCCCCTTCAGAGTGTTATTCCTGAATAACTTGTATTTCTGCATTAATTCCGGACTCCGAGACTCTATTTTATAGCACTGTAGAATTTACAGAACACTTCCACACATAATCTCCACTGAGGCATTGATTCGTTGGAAGGAACCCAGTTCTTGACAAATGGAAGGAGCCCTGGCATAAAGTGGTTTATACCACAAGGTTGGCAGTTCAAACCCACCAGCTGCTCTGAGGGAGAAAGGTGAGGCTGTCTGCGCCCTTAAAGATTTACAGCTTCAAACCCCTATGGGGTAATTTTACTCTGCCCAACAGGGTCACCATGAATTGGAATCAATTTGATGGCAGTGAATGTTTGAGAAATCGGAGTTCAAATTCTGGTTTATTAGGAAAATAATTGCGCTTGCTTAATTCCCTTCCATCTCCTAATTTGTTAATTGAAACGACTGATCTCACTATTGCAAACATTAGATGAAGTAACTGATTGTTAGGCCTAGAACAATCTGAGGGCCTCTGGTAGCATAGCAGGTTACAGTTGGGCTTCTAACCACATAGTCAGCAGTTCGATCGGCAGCAGAAAGGAGAGGCATTCTGCTCTGAAGGATTCACAGCCTCAGAAACCCAGAGCGGCACTCCCACTCTGTCCTGAAGCCGCTGTGAGTTAGAATCCAGTCGCTGGCAGTGGGTTTGTTTGTTTTTATTTAGTGTGCGGGCTGTCTGAGCTCCTAGGCAGCATACTGAACCTATGTTAATGACCACGAAAACCCTGTAGCAGTTGAACGCAGGTTTATTCTAAGCAGTTATTCTGTTGCATATGGGGAGATCATTTTGACTGCAGAATAAGCACATCGTCTGAAAAAACAAGATGCAGGGAGACTTGTAAAGAGAAGAGGAAGGGAGATACAGAAGACCAGCCGCTGGCTAATCTTAACACGACTGATTAAACCCTGTTCCCTTCTTAAAATAAATCCGCATGGGTGATGAGAATGTCCCTGGCCCTCCACCCAGCCAGATCTTTGACAATTCAAATGCAAAGCAAGCCCTCCTTCAGCAGGACTAGAAAGACCCGCAACTTAGTAGAGAAAGAACAGCTGCTGACAGGGTGGAGCCTGGTCTGGAACCTCTTTGGAGTGAACATTGTGTTTTGGGGGTAAGAAAACTGCCCACATCAAAGCAAAATGTCTGCTGTCACCTTCCATGTGGGAAGCCAATGTGCCTCATGCACAGCCATGTGAGGTGAGTGTGTTGCTCCGACACGGAACAGACTAAATGGACCAGGAGGAAAAGTCTGAGGATCAGTTCACAAGATCAGCCAAAGAAAACCCTACAGAATACAA